CAGATATGTGACGGGGCTATACTTAGATCAAAAACCCGTGATGCTCTTGATACAGACAAATGCTCACGTTATTTTCTTAATTTAGAAAAATTTAAACGGGAAAGTAACATTGTTAAGACTTTGAACAGATCTGACGGTTCTATTGTCAATACAACTCCTGAAATACTTGAAGAATGTGTCAAATTTTATACAAAACATATACAAATGAACCAATTAATGAGGTCAATCAAAATAAGTTATTTGATTTAATTACTGATCAGTTAGTTGAAGCTAAATCTAAATATTGTGAGTCTAATATTTCCATTCATGAATTGTACAATTCTTTAAAGGGCACGAAGAAAGGGAAATCTCCGGGTCTGGACGGACTTACTGTCGAATTTTATCTGCATTTTTGGAACATTTTAGGAAAATTTTATTTTGGGACATTTTAGGGAAATATTATTTTCAAGTTATTTCTAATATACAGGAGTTAGGAAAGCTCAGTAATTCCATGAAGAGAGGGACAATTTCGTTATTTTTCAAAAAGCGTGGTAATAAAGCTGAATTACGTAATTGGAGACCCATAAGTCACTTAAATGTTGATTACAAGATCTTCTCCAGGACACCAGCTCTTAGATTAAAAACAGTAGTAGCTGATCTTGTATCGACTGATCAGTCTTGTTGTGTTCCAGGCAGGGATATTGCTACCAATATTCTAATATACGTGACCTTATTTCCTTTGCTGAACTTGAAGATCTTCCTCTCTATCTTTTGAAATTAGATGCCGAGAAAGCATCGGTAAAGGTAAACGTGCATGTCTCTTTATCATTCCCTATCCTTCGCTCTTTTCGCCAAGGATGTGGGATTTCGGCCTTGTTATATGTATTAACCCCAGTTCCATTAAATTCACTAATTAAGTCTAATGAGAATATCAAGGGTTTGGCTGTTCCTGGATGTGATTATAATTCAACTGTGTTTCAACACGTTGATGACACAACTTTATTGGAGTTTATTGTTCGGCTTCGGGAGCCAAAATTAACGCCCAAAAATCTGAGCTCTTATTCGCGGGAGTGCCTCTGTTCCAAATCCGCGGTCGTTTTCACCGGTTATATGTAAACGATCCCGCGAAAACAGCTTTAACTTCAATTTTTTCTTTATTTGCTATTTAAAGTTTTAGAGAAATTTACATGTTAAAAAAAGGACTTACGTTCAATCCAACAGAGCAAGACTTCCAGCAACAAAATTTCCAAAGTTTTCATTTCAATGATGAACCAAGCTTCCCAAGACAAGTTAACGTAAACAATTAGTTTAGTAATAATGATCTGTTGTCTTTCAATAATATGTCTGCATATTATATGACTGTTTTGTGTATATTAGAAACTCGTCTGGGCACTTAAGGGAACATAAAGAAACCAGCAATTAATAGGCTGCAATTAAAATAGTTTGAATATTAAATTTAATGGATGCGTTCATCATGTAGATTAAGTCAAACGAAAGTTTAAACTATAAAAACGAAACCATATAGAATCTATGTTTTAATCAGAATCAGAGAGGTGGTGTTTACCACTCGACACAAACTAGGACATTTCGGGACTAACATATGGTTCAATTTCATACCAAGTATTCGCTTGCGCGTATGGGTCTTATGGGATGGGAGGAATCTGGAGAACCCCGAGAAAACCCACGAGCTTGGACAGTTGACCCTACTCGAAACCACACCACTTAACTCAATGACAGACCTTCTGATCCAACGCGCATCCGTTAACCACTAGGCCACTCAAACCCCCAAAGAAGCTCATAGAAGAGGAAAAAAAGTGGAAAGTTTTGGTGTAATAAATCCAGAATTAGCGAGAAATGGTAGTGGGTGTCGTGTACGAGGAGTGCTATGCTTACCCTTTCTGTGTACTTTAAATCTAGTGTGACGACCGTGAGTGTTTACAATAATATGTATTTTGTTATTGATGCGTTATTTTGTGCTTTTATTATGATTGATATTTTCTTTGTTCTTTTTTTTTTCGTTAACGTTGAAATGATTCTTTATACAAAATTTGTCGCCCGTATCTACTTTGAAAGGCGCTTACATATTATATATTACTTTTGTTGTATTCTATTAGCCGTGGCATTAGATATAATTACCTACTGTTATATATTCTATCAACAGGAGTTATATAAGTAACCGATCAATATCGCATTACTGCCACAAAATTACCTGAAATTTTTCACATAGAAGAAGGGGCGTGGTAACCCACGATTTTGCATGAGGATTAAGATCCCATCCGGGCACCTAATAAACAATATTTATTTGTGAGTGCGGCGGAGGGGTGGGGTGGTAGTCCTTCTAAGTGCCACTGGGTAAAATTGGGCTGTGTGGGACATGCTAGATTCGATCTGTAGCATGTCCGACCTACGGTTATGTTTGATTCTGGTTAAGCATTATGATTATAATTATGATTATGATTATAATGTTGAAAACCGCATTGAAACCGCATGATTTTTGCCATTTTCGAGGGGGCGCAAAAACTCAAAACCATGACGCAAAGCGCGTCAGTGCGCCCCCTCACTTATAATAGGTTAATACATATATAAGGTCTAACATTGATAGTTTTTGAGATATTGACTGGTTTTTTTCTGATTGACCTTTGTCCCCGCCCCAAAATTTTCCCCAAGCGATCATGATATGTCATTTTTTTCTGGAGTAGGCTACCCACGAACCCCACCTTTTATTTGAGACCAAGTTTGCTTTGATGGGACTTTTTATCCGGCAGACTATGAGTAGAAGATACCCGATGTCCCCTTATATATACCTTTTATTTCATAAATCACGCTTTTGTCACCGACAACCTAGAAAACACATACCCAATATTCCCCCTAAAATAAACTTTTTACATGCGCAAATCTACACTAAATAGATTTATATCCAAATATATTCCATTCCAACAACTTTAATTGTTTTAGCATCTAGTTTGAAAAGATATAAAGTTAATTAACACGCCCCGATGTCACCCCTATCCGTGATATTTGATCCCCGAATAGGTCTCGCATAGACTACAGATGAGCTATGGAGCATCACCCACAGGGATACTGTTTGATTCACAAATAAATGCAACGGAATGAAATGGGGTTTAACGTCCAACTGTTCTGCTCGATCCACGAATAAGCCACACATGACTAGAGATGGGCTATGGAGAAACACCCTCAGGAATGCTGTTTATTCCACGAATAAACCGCACGTGAACCTGAGAGCAAAACCTGTTATTAAATAATTATGTTAAATGCACTGTAAACGGAACAGAAATGGAATTAGTCAACCATGAATATTGTATCCATTAACATTAATTGTCTGGTGAATATTAGAATTTCACTTTTAAAGAAAATAATAAAAACTGATGGATTTATTTAAATAATGAATATGTAATGTTGTAAACTACTTTGTTGATAATATAAAACAACAAAATTCTATAATATTATAAAATGGTTTTATTTGAATAATGTATGTATTGTCAACAAGTTTTGTTGATATAATCGATATTGTAAAACAATTTTTTTAAAAGCATGTGGGTTTAGACCATCGCATTTTAATTGTTCATTTGAACTCGATGCGGTACCTCCCGTGTTTAGCCCATTTAGCATTTATTTGGTCGGGAGAAGGATGGGGCGGGGGGGGGGGGTCTTAGTTGGAGGCAACTTTGTCTAGCATTGCCTAGTCTGTACTCTATGAGATGAGCCTGGTCATTTCGATTTGACTTTAAATGGTGCTCCCAATATTTGATCCAACCCTAGGACGCCACACAACAGGATGTACCCGGCAGAGTTCCACATCTGAATATGTTAAGTTACACAATACATGTTACTGTACTCGGATATTGGAACCTTTTCCGAACTGGTAGTTTCTTCACATTCATCATGTGTTGATTTTCACCCAAACATCAACACTGTGTTGATTTTCACCCAATTTTCAACACTTTATTGGGGGGTTTTTTTGGTTTTTTTTTGGTTTTGTAAAGCTTAAAACAAGGTTATGTCTTTTTGACACAAACGTGAAATGAAATGAAATGAAATGGGGTTTTACGCCGTAGTGTTCAGCTTCAACTCGACTTATGAAGACGGGCATACGCCATGCAGTGTGTTATGGATGGGAGAAATTTTGCCCAGACAGCGACGCTGCGGTCTCTCTTATATCGAATTCCAACTGCCAAGGGATCTTTTATGTACACGCCATTGTGTATACGGGACACTGGTTTTTCGCCCCATCCGAACAACTAGACAGCTGTCCTTGTCAGGCCCTCTATCCTACATCACCGACAAAGGGAACACGCCGGAAAACCCCGATGATCTTTCTAAGCCAATGCAGGGATCGAACACCCGACCTCCAGGCTAGCGGGCCAGCGTCTTACCCACTTAGCCACCGTGATCCCCAAAGGAAATTGTGACGACCACATATGGAAAGTGTGACGACCTCATACGTCCCATGTATAAATAATTAGTATGTGGTCTAGAGTGTCGCGCTCCGAGCTCTAGCTGGTCGGTCACCTCTGGCTTACGGTCATTCTTTCGATCGCTGATGTGAGTATTGTAACAGTATACGTGGTGACACAGTACGCCACACTACGAGGTGACATAATAAAGTAATAGTACGTCAGAATCACGATGTGACACAGTATTGTAATAGTTCACCATACATACGAAGTGGCACAGCAATGTAAGAGTGCGCCATAATTACGAAGTGACGCAGTACGTAAGGTGATACAGTAATGTAAATTGCAATAGTACGTCATAATTACTAAGTGACACAGTAATTTAATAGTTCGCCATACTATCGAAATGACTCAGTACTGTAATAGTTCACGTTACATACGAGGTGACACGGTATTATAATTTTAGCCATACTTACGAAGTGACACAGTATTGTAATAGTACGCAACTGTCCACAATTAAGAAGTGACACAATATTGTAATAGTACGCAGATGTCCATAATTACGAAGTGACACAGTATTGTAATAGTACGAGGACTTTGCAAAAGTAACACGTGCCAATTACTTTTATTCATTAAAATCGATTAACTATAAAACGCTATATGCGATATGCCATAATATATATTTACAATCAAGTTACTTTATTTATCTAAAAAAAAGTAAATAAATTAAGTTTAGACCATTGAATGTTTACATTGATTTCGGATTTTATACCGTCACCTATAGTCATTCTGTTATCTTTTTCGTACCTGCAAACCCGTTCATTAATCTGTTGGACAAAGTGGTAACTGCAAAATAGTGCCACCACTGTTAAATATGATAGTAACCATAGCTAGTATCAACATTATGTTCCATTGTCAGATTCCACTGCACAGTACAATCGGAACCGTCACTTGTTTGCGTTATTAATTCACAATTATCAATTGAAGCTAAAAAATATATAAAAATATTCAAAAATTAAAATCCTTAAAATTTTTGCGTTTTTCTTTTGTTCTCTAACAGCAATGCATTAAATATCAATCATGTATATCTCACATTTATATAAACAAAATAAAAAGAAATCGTAAAAAAATCTGGAAAGACAGACACGCGGACAAACAGGCGGACAGGAAGGGATAAGCCTATTGTAGATTTAGGTTTCACCGGTGGGGAGGAGGTGTAGCCATTCCCTTTCTTTGAGCTTATGAAGACGAGCATACGTCATACAGTGTGTTCTGGGGTAAATTTTTCCCAAACATTTTTGCTAAGGCCTACTCTTATATCGAAGCTTCTTTTAAATGCATGCCAATGTGTACCCGGGACCTCGGTCGGAATTACTATACGTCGTTGTCCGTTGTCAGCCCCCCCCCCCCCTCCGTGCTCTACCACTGACAAGGGAAGTCCGCGCCGGAACATTTGGTCGAGACCCCATTAGCGGGGTGGTAAATAGAAATTGTTCATACAAGTTAGACAAACGGATGGATTAAACAGGCGATACGTTTCAAGTCAGTAGCTTGAAGCGTATATATGGTATTAGTGTCAGTGGCCTGTGGCACGAAGTAACAGTATATTGTCGCATACATAATATATTATGTCAACGCTTGGGCGATATAATATATTATGTCAACGCTTGGAACTAGGATGGAGGTGACTAGGCATGAACTTGCAACGATAGATTTAATTGGCGCTTTGATAACCAATGAATGCTTTGGAGACATATTTTGGCGGTATTTTCCATCATGGAATCGGTAAGTTTCGATTGTTTTTTTCTTTTCTGTTTTTTCTCTCTTTTCTGTGTCCTAACCCTAACCCTAACCCTAACCCTAATCCGAAAGAAAAGTGCCCTTTTTTGAAATTCTGACATCACAGGTGCCCTTTTTCTGATAAGGATGCCCTCTTTTATTTACAGGGACACTTTCTATGGCTCTGATGACGCGTACATTCTACTGAGTCTACAGGTCTAATATGCTAACACGCTTGGAGCGTCAACACAATATATTATGTCGCCCAAGCGTTGACATAATATATTATGTATGCGACAATATACTGTTACTTCGTGCCACAAGCCACTGACACTAATACCATATATACGCTTCAAGCTACTGACTTGAAACGTGCAGGGTGCATTAAAAGTCTATTTACCAGTTGGCATGTAGTTGAAACCATAGCAACCATTCTTCTGGTTGCATTCCAGAGAACACTGGCTTTTGGACAAGGCTGTAAGAGTCGTGTTAACAGGTGTAGTCCGGGTATTCTCCATTAAATCAAACCGTGTGGCTAAAATTGAATCAAACATAAGAAAATATTAAATTTAAAGCAACCGGTGCAAAAATAAAACGAAACGACATGAGATTTAATGTCTTACTTTTCTGCACTAACTAAGATAATGATGACGGGCATACGTCGTGCAGGGTGCTATGAGGGCAATTTTGCCGAAAAGTGGCGCTACGGCTTGTTCTAATTCGAATTCCAACCGCCAGGTCATAAGGTCAACCAAAGTCACAGGTTAACCAAGATCAAAAGGTCAACCTATCCCTTACAGATATTGGAGAATCCTAACAATGTAAGAGGTTAGGTATAATAACATTAGGAAATATATCAAATCAATTTGGAGAGAGAGAGAGATGGGGTTTAACGTCCACTCGACACAAACTAAGTCATTCCGGGACTAACATATGGTTTAATTTTATTTCAATAATTCGCTTGCGCGTAGGTGTCTTTATCAGTGGGAGGAAACCGGAGGACCCGGGGAAAACCCACGAGGTTGAGCAGGCGCCCCTACTCCTTGTTGAATACAACTGGGGATTCAAAACCACACTAGTAGACTCAATGACAGGCCTTATGATACAGCACGCACGTGCTTACCATTCGTCCATCCACCCCACCCCCCCCCCCCCCGAAAAAAAAAATCAATTTGGACCATGATATTAATTCCAAATTACCCTTTCTTTTGTGCTCTTGTAAATAGGTTATGGGTCGTTCTACTTACTTTTAATGCGTTCATCAGTCTGATCGAACTTCCAATGCACTACTCCACCGTCCAGATTACCGAATCCAAGATATGAAACTGCAGGAACATAACTTAGAGCTTTTCCAACAACATTTAAACCCACCACTTGACCCGTACCTATAGCAAAGTTATCCGCTTCCCATGATATCCAATGCCATTTAAACTCATCGAAGTCTGTAATGTTTACGTCATTGTAGTCGTAATTGTCATATGTACATCCAATCTCTATCTGTACGAATAATTCTTGCACACCAATTCTAAATGATCCCACATTTGTCATTTCTTTAAACAGCCATATTTGTGGGTTGTATTTGGATTTTACAGCAAATACTACACCAATTTGTCGTCGCACGTCCTTAATGTAACCAACTTTATTATCCCCCGACGTCATAAGTTGGGTATTTTCAGTATCTATAAAGATGAAAAAGAAATGAATGAATTGAAATGGGATTAGCGTCCTTTCTGCTTCGACTAGGCAAATGCAGAGAGGTCATCCGCCATATACAGTGTGCTATTAAGGAAATGTTGTCCGGGCAGCGGTGTTACAGCCTACTCTTATATCGAATTCCAACTGCCAAAGGTTCTTTTCCGTGAACGCCAATGTGTACACGGGACCTCCGTTTTCCGTTCCACCCGAACGACTAAACGCTGTCCCTTGTCAGGCCCTATGTCCTGCACCACTGACAAGGGGCAACCAGGCCGGAAAACCCCGAAGACCTTTATAGGCAAACACCAGGATCGCGCACCGAGTACTTTATGACTATGGAACAACCTGCCTACTAACGTCAAAAACTCGTATAGATTTAAAGATGGGTTCCCAGAAAAGTATTTATCGGGTGGTTATTTCCAATAAAAGTATTGTAATTTTGGTATATATGGAAAGTAGAGATATCCAATCTTACTAGAAAAATACTGGATTCCGCGAAAAACACTCATGGAGCGTATACAGGACAAAAATGTAAGGGTTCCCCTAATCAACAGCTCGACGATTAGGAATTTCTGCACGCTTGATGTCAAAGGTCACACGCGAACATTGAGCGCTTGATGTACAAGTTGATAAACTTTATGAAGAGTTAGATGTACAACACTTTCTGAGATAAAAATGACGGAAAAAGACGCGGGTAGTGGATAATCCGAGAATTTAATTAGGATTCGATATTTGTAATAAATAGTAAGCGATTAAAGACAACATCGTCTTATGTATGCAATGAATTCTCCTCTGACTTCCAAGAGAGGTAAGTCACGTGACGTAAACATGACCTGGTTTGATCGAATTTTTATAGCAGGACATTCCTTCGCAATTACAATGTTTGAGAAGGATTTGAAACAAAGTTATGACAAATTAATTAGTTTGAATATGTTAAATCACCCAGTTTGTACGCGGGAACCTATCTTTTATCAATTTAAAGCTAATATTTCTAAGTTATATCGTTTTAAAAAGATCAAACCCTATCATAACACTGTCAAATAAGAAACAATAGCAGTAACCTAAAAAGCCACCGCACACAACAATTTTTGTCCGATCTGCTGTTTGTTTTAATTGCTCGACTGAAGAAGAAGATTCATTTTACTATTTGTTTTTATCTGTCTATATTATAATCAAATTACACCTCATTTATTCGAAATTATTAGCAAAATTATACATAATCAAAATATTACTGTAGAAGTTATTTTACAGTGAGATGAAAACTTACCTTGGAATCAAATATAGAATTAACTAAAGCTGTTCACCTTTTTACCAAACAAAGTCACATATTTTAATTAACAAATTCAGCGCAAAATACACCTCCACACAACTTCTGTATATTATATGTTTATTAAATCTAATGTTCGTACATTCTTTAAACATACATTATGCAAGAGCTAAATCTGCCTATTGCAGGTCTTTCTTTAGGCCTCAAATGTTATCTAATATTATTAATTAGATATTAATTAACTTATCCAGACCATAACCAACTCTCAATGGCATCGCTAGCCTGCGATGTTTTTTTGATTAGGTTCCGATTTGCTGTTCGATTTCAATTCATAATTTAATCATAAAGTGGATAATCGAGACTATGTTTTTATCGTACCGACTTTAGTAATGATGATCGAGACTAGGCCGAAAATATTCAATCGCTAAAATCTCGGTTCAGCAAATTACCTTTACATTATCTAGTTTTTAACTATTATAGTGAGAACTGTGAGCTCTTTATCTAATCTCCCATAATGTGTACATGTGTGATTCGTGGTGTGGCTGAAAAACATTTAAATATTCATGTGATAAGAGCTAACTCTACCTAGGTAACCAGGATTAGAACTGGCTTATTATCCAAGATGTCCGGTGTTCAATCCCGATACCGGCTAGATGTCCCCGTGTCAGTGGTGCAGGGCGGGGGTCTTGGCAAGGAAAAACGTCTCGTTATTCGGATAGGGTGAAAAACTGAGGTCCCTTGTACACATTTGGCATTTTAAATTCAAAACAAAATATGGCGGAAAAGTTGAGGTCCTTGCAGAATTTCTATGATAGCATCCTGCATGGCATATGCCCCTCATCATTTCATTTCTAGCCATGGCCACCTTAAATCAAAAGACTTACGCTGGATGTGTGTCCACAAAAAGCACATTGCAAGTAAGAAAATACCACCAACTTTCATCTCGAGTTATTCACGTCCGCATCCCTTCTCAATAATTTGTAAAGTGGTGTAAACCCCATGTCCCACTGAATACTCTTATAAACACACTAATGAATTACATAAATTATAGATTAGCCGGTAAGGCTCAATTACCCAGTCTAAACTTAATCCGCGATCATATAGTTTAACGGTGTCTATCATATAGTTTGTGTGATCGAGGCTATCATTTGAAAATATGAAAGGGAAAGTAGCATTATATGATCGTGTTTGTATTGTTATCAGATTTGTTTGATATCATTCACGGTGCAATGAAAATAATACGAGAATAAACGTAAAACATTTAGATTGTTTGAAGTCTGTCATGTGATTAAGTTAATTATGATAATGTACTTGAACAGTTTTAATACAATGAATTTAATCACCAGACGTGCTAATATTATATTGATCCATAGATTAAGGTGATATGGCTAGGTAAAATATTATTCGTACGACTTTAAATGTGGCATTTTACTTCAAACGATTAAATGAAAGAGATACAGAACATTATTTAACTTAATAATGAGAGTTTTGACTTTCATAGTGAACGCGTGCCTCCATAGCGAACTGGTGCCACCGTACTAGTGTCCCCATAGTGAAATGGTGCATCCATACACTGTTAAAAATTGGTGTAATTAAAAACTAAAAACAGTGTTAAATTAATCGCCAGGTAAAATATAATTCGTACGACTTTAATCGCCACGGTCATAACACAAGTGCTCAACTCATTTTGGAGGGTTTTGAGATAACCGAAAAAAAAACTTTCCTATAGAATAAAACTAGTGATTGTATCCCATAAAAACTGTGTTCTGTTAAAGTGTTTCCAATCGCTAAATGCCACTTAAAGCTTATTTCCTATATGTGCTGGATGACACCAGGGATATAGTTTTTGTGCTCAAAGCATCCAGGATATAAGTCTTATTTATCTCAACAGAGGCGGTTTACTGCCGAAGTAGCAAAGGCAGATAACAATTACTTAAGCGATTGTTATCTAAATAGTTTTGAGTTAAGCACTGACTTGAGCAAGTAAATTTAGTCATTTCTGACTTGAGCAACAGATTAATTAACCGTTTACTTCCGAAGAACCTTGTCAGTGGTGCAGAACAGAGGGCCTGACAAGGACAGCTGTCTAGTCTTTCGGGTGAGAGGAAAAATGCACGTAAAAGATCCCTCCCTTGGCAGTTGGAATTCGATATAAGAGTAGGCTATAGTGCTGCTGCCCGGGCGTATGTCCGTCTTCATTAGCCCAGTACAGGAGCAGAACAGTAGGACGTTAAACCCCATTTCATTTCATTTCATTTACTTCCGAAGAATCTCTAATCGCCTATGAAATATGGGAAGTAGTTTGCTTGTTTTTGGGAATAGTCATTCGTAGACAAGACAGTGGTATTGATAACGGTATCAGACGTGGATGGGGGTTGATAGGTGCCCCCCCCCCCTTTCTATTGGTTTTTTTTTATTGAATATTCCTTTACTAAAGCAGAGACGTCTCGTAATTAACACTGCCGTCTAGATATTTTTTCGATTTGTTCAAAATCTGTGTTTTGGGTCAATCTCACACTGATCAGCAGTGAATTTTCGCTAGGACGCTACAATCACTGATAAGGATGACATCGATGTTACTTAATGAGTCCCAAATATTAAATTTTAAAACATTTTTTTCATTTATTAGAAAAATAAATAAAGATGTTTGAATTGTTTGTAGGTAAAAATCATTTCCTATTTAGTGTAAATGGGTATTAAAATAAGTAAAATTCACCATTAAGCCCGAATCAGTAACGTCTTACGTAAACAATGCACGCGCTATTGAGCCAGTGATTGACGCCGAGTGATGTGACGTCACGTGTCGAAACAGTCATCTGTTACAGAGATATTATAAGATCTCTGTGAAACAGATTGGGTCAATCTATGTCAATTATCATATTTTCGAGCCGATTGAACCCGGTAGATGAGCACTTAAAAATCTGAAACTTGTTGGAATTATAGTTTGTACTAATGTCTCTTAACATATGTTAAAACCATTCTTGTCCTATGCTATCTCAATATTTTTTCCATTTTTTCAAAATGTGTGGTTTGGATCTTTCCATGTCAATTATCACCCAATGAGTTAAAATGCACCCACTTCGATTTTGCTGAAATGGTTTATATGCTTATTAGGATTGAGAAAGGTGATATTCCAAATTTTAGCTTGGTCCGACAAACGGTTCCTGTGATACGGTCCACCCAATTTTGGGGATTGCAAATTCGTAATCTACACAAAAAGTTATTTAAGACAACCAAATGTGAGCTGTATAATATCCTCACTAGAAAGGTAAAAATAAGATATCTGAAACTCGAGTAACTTATACAAATTTTGTTTCGAAAACTCATCGGTAACTCATGAAACTCAAATGCCCGTATCTCAGTCAATTTTCAAGCTGCTGACCACAAATTTTGCAAATTTTTTCCAGATTTTCCACCCGACTTGACATAGAATGACCCAAACATACATTTTAAGTTTCATTAAAATCGGATAAAAAAAAATGTGACCTCTAGAGGGTCCACAACATTGGTATTACATATTTTTACACTATTTGCGTACGAGGAGCGATCATTTTGTCGGACACTTTCTGTCGGAGTTTCACGAAATTCAAACTCAACCGTCAGAGTGCAGTGGTGATATTATATTTGAATAGTTTTCAAAATCAGATAGAAAAATGGTGACCTCTAGATGGTCCACAAGCTAAAAACGCAAAAAAAAAAAAAGAAAAAAAAAAAAAATATTGTCCATAATACGGTTACGGTCCGATATGCGCGGATATAGAAAGAAGCGGAGATCCTTTAGATATAAACATATATTTTAAGTTTCATAAAAATCGGATAATAACATTGTTACCTTTTGAGGGTTCACAACCTTGGTATTACATACTTTTACACCATTTGCGTACGAGGAGCGGCCATTTGTTCGGGCACGTTGGTCCGATTTTCACGAAATTCAAACTCAACCGTCGTCAGGGTTTATTGGTGATATATTTCAACGAATTTTAAAATTGGATAAAATTGTGAACTCCAGAGAGACCACGCTAAACACGCTATAATTCAGAAAGTTACAGACCGAGATGTTTTGGGTTGTAAACACACATATTAAGTTTCATCAAGTTCGGATAAGAATAGTCCAAACGATAAAAACGTGATTTTTCGTACAAAGGGGCAATAATCCATGCAGTTACGGCCCAATATATATCGAAAGAAACCGAGATCTTTTGGAGATAAAATAAAAATTGTGATCTGTAAACGAACAGGGGCAATGACAATATACGTCCACATGAAAATGAGGGCGTATAAAAATGCACGTCAAGCTTCAAAGAAGTTTAATTGTGCTTTTAGAATACCATCGGAGTAGGCTCTTTCTTTTCTTATATCTCTTTGCCGGGAATGATAGTCATCTCCACATATCGGTAAGAAATCAGACAATATTGTGTAAACATATGAAACGGAAATAAGAATGTCACAGACTGTTTTAATGTAACAAATTGTTTAAGAATGTCACAAACTGTTTTAATTTAACAAATTGTTTACTTTGCCCGATTTTTTTTTTATTTTTCTCGGAAAAAACGTAAAAACATGTAGAATACTTTTAGCGTCGCTGCGCTCGGCAAGAATCTGGTAAGCGCCAGAAACACCGCCATTAACACCACCTTTAGACGCCATTTTGTTCCAAAGGGAGTTGCCTAACTTATAAAGTTAGTTAGGCAGAAGTGTAAATGGACCAGTAATTCTATTACAGTGGACTCTGTCACATCCGACATCGTGCGGGATCGTTACAGTAATTCGGATCACACAGCGTTTCGGAATACCTAGTTTTCTCCAAAACCTGAAATATTGTAACTTCGAAAACCGGAAGTATTTTTATATTGTAGCTTCGAATCACCAGAATGCTATTCCCTTTATAAATGATAAACTTTTCTGTACTTTCAAAATTTTATTATATCAAATAATTAACAATAACAATGCATGCGTACAATATATTCATAAATCGTTTACATGTAATATCAATGCATGCGTACAATATATTTATAAATATCAATGCATGTAATCGTTTAAAGTAGTTTGCTTAGTTAAGATTACCGGAAGCATATCGTAAGGCGGAGTCCTGGGCAACATCTTCTAACAAATGAATTGTTGCGATCATCTTTTCGTCCTTAATCTGTGCGAAGTGTTTAATGTCGTTAAGCATGCGTAGGAATTTTGAATAGGTCAAGTCTGTCGTTAATGTATATTCTTCATCGTCCCCGTCTTCAGTCAATTGTCATTTATAATCTGTCGTTCTATGTCCAGTTTTTGAAGCCAATCAAAGTAAACGGCACCTGTCATCCAAGCTTTGCGATTGGCCGACCAATTGACTGGCAGGTAGATCTTGTCCACTCCCTTAAAACAACTCGGGCTCACTGCTTTGCCGATCAAAGTAATCAACACAGTTTTAATCTCACCGATAATTGATTGGTGATTACTTGTTAATCTTTTCTGACTTCACACCCATTGAGTTTTAATCTCACCAATAATTGGATGCTTCACACCCACCGTTTGAAGTACGGATTATACGGTGTCGATTCAATGGAAATTATGTGACGGGATTGATTTCGGAATCCGGAACATACAGAATTCGGATTTACCAGCGATTTTTTGGCTGAAGTAATAAGGAAATAAATCGGGACATGAAAATCACACCGGATGTCACAGCAATCACAGAGTCCACTGTAATTGATTGGCTATTACAATAATGTGACTTTCAGCTGATGGAGATAACCTGGATACAGTAGCTTTCTTTACTTTATTTTAATTTTATTTGGCAAATAATTGAACATAATTTTTTAATTATGACGTCACAATAGGTAAAACGTCACCCTATTGTTCTATCATTGAGCTATTTTATCTGCTAAAAGAAAGACGCTCTGTGACAATTCTCTGAGATTAATAACATTTCCAACGCTTTGGTGAATCCAGACACAAAAGTGACATCAACTATGACTGTATTGT